AGGAGGCTGAGGCAGGAGAATTGCCTGAACCCAGGAGGCGGAGGTTGCGGTGAGCCGAGATCGCGCCATTGCACTCCAGCCTGGGTAACAAGAGCGAAACTCCGTCCCAAGGAAAAAAAAAAAATCAAACTAGAAATACAAAGGAACTTTTTTTTTAATTAATAAAAGGCATTTATGAAAAACTCATAGTTAACATTATACTTGATGGTAAGAATGAAAGCTTTTCCTCTAAGATCAGTAAAGATGTTTGAAACTCTTACTACTTCTTTTCAACATTATACTAGAGGTTTTAGAGCAATTAAGCAAGGGGAAAAAAAGCATCTTTATTGGAAAGAAAAAAGTAAGACTCTTCATAGGTGGCATAATCTTATTTCTAGAAACCCTAACAAATCCATTCAAAGGCACTATTAGAATAAGCTTAGCAGAATACAAGAGTAATGTATAAGAGTTGATTATTTTGATGTAATGAGCAATGAGCAATCTGAAAAGGAAGATAAAACAATTTGATTTACAATAGCATCAAAAAGAATAAAACACTTAGGAATAAACAGAACCAAAGAAGTGTAAGACTTGTATGCTGAAACCTGCAAAACATTGTTGAAAGGATTTAAACACCTAAATGGGCTAGGTGCAGTGGCTCATGCCTGTAATTCCAGCACTTTGGGAGGCCAAGGTGGGTGGATCACCTGAGGTCAGAAGTTCAAGATCAGCCTGGCCAACGGTAAAATCCTGTCTCTACTAATAATACGGGTGGTGCACACCTGTAACCCCAGCTACTCCAGAGGCTGAGACAGGAGAATGGCTTGAACCCGGGAGGCGGAGGTTGCAGTGAGCCGAGATTGCACCACTGCACTCCAGCCTGGGTGACAGAGCGAGACTCTGTCTCAAAAAAAAAGAAAAAAAAAAAAATTGTAAGGCCAGACATAGTGGCTCACATCTATAATCTTAACATTTTGGGAGGGTGAGGTAGAAGGATTGCTTGAGGCCACGGGTTTGAGACCAGCCTCAGCAACAAAACAAGGCCCCATCTCTACAAAACATAGAAAAATTAGGGTGGTGGTCTATGCATGTAGTCCTAGCTACTTACGAGGCTGCAACAGCGCTCAGGGGTTCAGGGTTACAGTGAGCTGTGAATATGCTGCTGCACTCCAGCTTGGACAAAAGTGAGGCTAAACTCTCTCTCAAAAAACCAAAAAACTAGTTTACAAATATGTATATTTAATAATTGTCTTTTTCCATTAAATATGTTTCTCTTTTGTGAATAGACCAGCAGAAGTAGATACTGTGGATGCATTCCAGGGTCGGCAGAAGGATTGCGTGATTGTTACATGTGTCAGAGCAAATACCATGCAAGGTTCAATTGGGTAAGTTACTGTCATTGTTGCTTTTTTATACTTTTATACATTGTCGCTTGTTTATAATTCAGGATTAGGTTCAGTTCATTATCTCTCACTGTTAGAAAACCACCATAATTTGCTTTCTTAATTTTCTTTTGTAAATTTCTTGTGTAATATTATGAAAGTTTCTCTTTAAGTTGTGAAATCAACCCACTGTTAGATCTTGGTGCAATCTCAGCTCACTGCAACCTCCACCTCCCAGGCTCAAGCAATTCTCCTGCCTCAGCCTCCCAAGTAGCTGGGACCACAGGCATGTACCACCATACCCAGCTAATTTTTGTATTTTTTTGTAGAGACAGGGTTTCGCCATGTTACCCAGGCTGTTCTCAAACTCCTGAGCTCAAGTGATCGCCCACTTTGGCCTCCCAAAATGCTGGGATTACAGGTGTGAGCCACCAAGTCCATGGTGGCTTTTATGTTAACGCATTTCATAGTGTTCTTTTATTTAATAAGATTTTTTTATTAATAAGATTCAAGTAAATAATTTAGTGTGTTTTGCAGAGGCATGTTACTCTCCATGGTATATGTTATATAAAGTGTCATTTTTTTCTCTTCTGTGTTTTCCTGCTTTGGCTACATTTGTTAACCTTAACTACTGTCAGTTTATTTAAGATGCTAAGGATACCTGTATGAGTGACAGAAAATTCCCCTGAGCCTGAGACTCTTACATGATGCTTTGTTCCTTGTCATGAGAAGCAGATAGAATTTACAGGTTATAAATTTGTTTTTTTTGTTGTTGTTGTTGTTTTTTTTTTGAGATGGAATCTCACTCTGTCACCAGGCTGGAGTACAGTGGCATGATCTGGGTTCACTTCAGTCTCCGCCTCCCGGGTTCAGGCCATCCTTCTGCCTCAGCCTCCCGAGTAGCTGGGACTAGAGGCATATGCCACCACACCCAGCTGATTTTTATATTTTTTAGTAGAGACGGGGTTTCACCATGTTGGCAGGTTGGTCTCAATCTCTTGCCCTCGTGATCCGCCTGCCTTGGACTCCCAAAGTGCTGGGATTACAGGCGTGATCCACACCTGGCCAAATTAGTTTGTTTTCAAAGAAAATAGTAATCAAAGTCACCTCCCTGGGATGGGCTGCATATACAGAGACTGGTTATATCTCAGGGCCATTTTATAAACAGTCTGTTCTTTCCCAGCTAATTTTCACTTTTTTCATAACCAGTTCTATTTCTGAGCTGTTTTTCTGATCTGTTGAAATATTTGTGTTGTGTCTATGTATTTCTGCACTAGTTCTACAATATTTTAACAACCTAGATATATTTAAATGCAAGAATAAAGTGATTGGACTGGTATCACATTTTTAGGGTATTTTTAAGGCTTCAGGATTGCACTGTTAAAATTTTCAATATCTCATCCAGGTTAAAAATAGAAAATTGATAGATCACTTTGAAGGAAACCCTGAGGTTTTGGTTTGTTTACTGTTTTTAATAGGAATTCTTCTGTGCCCAGTACCCTGTATTGGGACAGAGAGTAAGAAAGCACTGTGACTTCTAGAGAAGTGGAGGAGTCCTGGAAAAGCTGTCTGCAGTCCACCAGTGTCTCACATGGGCACGCTAAGTCACTCTAGAGTCCACCTGTGTCTCACATGGGCACGCGAAGCACTGAGTCACTCTAGAGTTCACCGGTGTCTCACATGAGTGTGCTAAGTGCTGAGTCACTCCAGAGTCCACTAGTGTCTCACATGGGTACGCTAAGCGCTGAGTCACTCTAGAGTCCACCTGTGTCTCACATGGACAGGCTAAGTGCTGAGTCACTCGAGCTCACCTGTGTCTCACACGGGTACACCAAGTCACTCTAGAGTCCACCTGTGTCTCACACGGGCACACTAAGACTAAGTCACTTGAGTCCACCTGTGTCTCACATGGACACGCTGAGCACTGAGTCACTCTAGAGTCCACCTGTGTCTTATGTGGGTACGCTAAGTGCTGAGTCACTCTAGAGTCCACCAGTGTCTCACATGGACACGCTAAGCACTAAGTCACTCTAGAGTCCACCTGTGTCTCACATGGACACGCTAAGTGCTAAGTCACTCTAGAGTCCACCTGTGTGTCATGTAGGCACTCACAGTCACTCTAGAGTCTACCTGTATCTCACGTGGGCACACTGTTATTCTAGAATTCACTTGTGTCTCATATGTGCATGCTAAGTCACTCTAGAGTCCACCAGTGTCTCACGTGGGCACGCTAAGTTATTCTAGAGTCCACCTATGTCTCATATGGGCATGTTAAGATATTCTAGACAAAGAAGGAAGTCTTTTTTTGTTGCGTAGATTCCTGGCAAGTTTGCAGAGATTGAATGTTACCATCACACGAGCCAAGTACAGCCTCTTCATCCTCGGACATTTGAGGACCCTGATGGTAGGTACCAGAGAGCTCAGAAGTTTGACCATTGTTACTGTTATTGGATTGAGTTTTTGTTATTTTCCATCAAAGTGTAAATGATTTCTGGATTACAAAATAATGGTGGTTATGTTTTCCAGCAACTTCCTAGGAGCTTTTGTGTACACGTGAACTATTCGCCTTTTTTCAGCCCAGAACCCAAGTGTCTACACTGGGCTCTCAAGGTGATCATTTTAAAACAAATTATCCACATCATAGGATTATTGTTAAGAAGGCATATTAAACCCACAAATGTAAAGTGCCAGACCAGTGCTTGGCACTTAGTAAACACTCAGTAAATGTGGCTGTTATTGGCCCAGCTTAATGCCAGAGAGAGTTTGCAGGCACGTGCTCTGCTCTGCTTTCCTGCTGGCGCTGGGAGGTGTGCTGCTCACACTGTTTTTCCAGCACTTGGTGCCTCCAGCGTTCCTCTGCCAAGATAGGCGCACGTCCGGACGAGGTGTACAAGTTTCCAACTTTAGTAGACAAATGGTACAACTTAATTAGCTGATATCACAGCTAGAGGTATCATGTAGTTGCTGTTTGTCTCATTAGGAGTAATAATTTTGTCGTTTTTCTCATTTCTCTTTTAATAAAAGTCATTGATTTCATCTACGAAGAGCCAACTTGGTGGCTGTTTTACCTGGTTTTGGTTCTTGCCACCAGGTGGCGCTCAGATACACCTTCTTTCTCATTTCACTCCTCTCTTCTGTAGCTCTATCCCCTCCAGCCTTTGTCGTTTGTGTGCCCACTCTAGAGAAAGTTGTAAAAGGTGCCCATTCTGGAGGAAGTTTTAAAAGCTGTGTACCGCTTATTTTTAAGTACCTCCTATTTTTTTTTTTTTTTTTTTTTTTTTTTTTTTT